GACTCTCACGAGATATATATATATATATTAGTTACTTATTACACATTATGTATCATGTCAACAATGTTTACTTTAGTATCATTAAACTAATTGAATTATTTATTTATTCCAGGCTTTGGGAGTGTTCGGTCTATGCCAAATTGTGGCCTTCGTTGATTACGTTCGCAGCAAGTTATCGAAGAATGACTTTGATACATTATTCACATTTTTGATGTATACTGTTGGAATATTAGTTGTAACAGTGGGAGGTATCTTAACATTCTCCGGCAAAATTTCTCCATGGACAGGAAGATTTTATTCTCTTCTGGATCCATCTTATGCAAAAAATCATATTCCAATCATTGCCAGTGTATCAGAGCATCAACCTACTTCGTGGAGTTCCTTTTATTTTGATCTGCAGATTTTAGTGTTCCTGTTTCCTGCTGGTCTTTACTTCTGCTTCAAGCAATTAACAGATGCTAACATTTTCATGATTTTGTATGGAATCACCAGTATATACTTTGCGGTAATTACAATTTCGAGTTTAAATTATCCCATATTACTAAGAAGAGCTCTTTTCATACTCTCATTTTATAATTAGTTAACTGATTTACTGATAGAAGACTTCGGAAGAGAAATTGAAAACTCAAGTTTTTTATCATTATAAAATAATAATACTGTGCTATACAAAAAGTTGATATTGAATTCTATGTATTGCATGCTGCATTAATATTGTTTCTGAATTTTTTGCTTTATTAATTTAAGAAAAAATAGACTAATTTATGGTAGTACTTGTGAAGTCAGTCATATTTCAGAACTCTGACTATAGAAGCGCTTAATGTTTCTTACAGTTATTGCATGAAAATAATGCCACGAGAATTATCAAAATGTGTTTTTATTTAGCAGATTACCGCATGAATGTTCATACATACTGTGATCATGACAACAGCAGATTTGTCTCTTCACATGACATACAGCCCCAATGTTATGAAAGAAATAATTGCTTTGTTTTGAATTGTTATCCAAAACAGTGATGATGAGGTGATAAGACAAGCGTTTTGTCTCGTAACTTTTGAGTGCAACATTGAGGATATACTATCTCGTATATCATATTGTGTCGCATTTCTATGAATGATTACTGTTTAAATTTCATAACGAATACTTGCAGTATAAACTGAATGGGAAAAGTGATTTTCGTGTAATTCAATGTTCATATGAAAGTAGTTGTTTAATAAGGACCTTTTCCTTTCTTATAATTCAATGTTCATGTGAAAGTAGTTTTTTCAGAATATTACTGGAGGTTTTTACTAACACCAAATCGTTATTTTTATCACCTCGACACGTGTTTCGATCACCAAGCGATCATCTTCAAAGAGGAAAATTAAAACTGTTTTTTTCAGAAAGGTTTGAAGATAGAAAGAAAGCCATTGAGTTCAAAATACTCGTTACATGAAAGTTTCAGGCAAGAACTGAATGGAATGGAGTGATTTTCTTGTAATTCAATGTTCATAAGAAAGTAGTTGTTTAATAAGGACCTTTTTCTTTCTTATAATTCAATGTTCATGTGAAAGTAGTTTTTTCAGAATATTACTGGAGGTTTTTCCTAACACCAAATCGTTATTTCTAACACCTCGACACGTGTTTCGATCACCAAGCGATCATCTTCAAAGAGGAAAATTAAAACTGTTTTTTTCAGAAAGGTTTTTCCTTAGAGATTGTATCTGAAAGAAACTATCTTGATAAATAATTTTTATTGTAGTTATTTTCATTCTTCCTTTCTTTGAAAGTTCAATGAAGAAGTAGAAAGTCGTGAAGTTTTTTTTTCAAAAAAAAAGGAAGACGAATTTCGACAATAACTTGAAAAGTAATAATAATCTTTATTTGAAATAGGTAATCCTAATCTACATTCACAAAGTATAATCTTATATATAGTAATTAGCAGCTCCTTCGATAGTATTAATATATTTGTTTTGTTTTAAATTTAAACGTACACACTAGGTATTTACATTTCGAGTTATATTTTCCATTGTTTTGCTAAAAGAAANAATTCCTGCAAACCATTGTTTGCCGAATTGAATATTCTTCCTCTGGCCTGTCTTTATATTATGGAAGTTGCCTGCTACATTCATAAAATAAAAAACACTCTTCCCAGACATTCGGACATGCATATCTACCAAACAGAAACAATCAGCTAATCTATCCAAATCATAACAATCTCCAAATAACATGAAATTGACTACTCTCAACAGGTGTAAGAGTTTACAATTAATTATCCACTAGCATTAAAATTCAGTCTACACACTTCAAATTTCGAAACGCCATAAAACGCTTTCTGCAAGAAAATTTAACATTGATGAATTTTTAATGTAACTTTTCGATCAAATATTTTATATTGCTGTCCCTTTTTTGCTTGTTTTGTAGTTACATGCTCAGTCTTTATTATATTTATATACATATACTCAAACATTATATCTTGACATGTTCTATATCCTACTGGGACCTTTGAATGAATACACTGATTTGATTTGAATAAAATGGACAATTCACTAGCAACAATTCATTCCTATCTAAATAACAATAAACTTAAACTTAATATAAATAAAACTGTAGCAATGCTCATTTGTATTTGATGACTTGTTTATTTTGTGGAAATTCATGATCACTTTAATGAAATGAATTAAAACACTTTTGTCTATTTTCTATCATAAAAATAAAGCAATGTTATTATCTAAATCACATAAGATAAAATATGTTGATATGGACCAGTATATATTTTCAATAAATGGTGGAAAAATCACATTTGTAAACAAGATTCAGTAATCTGAGTTTCATGCTAGATAACACTTTCTTTCAATGCCCATTTTAATTATATTCACAGGAAAATTTCGAAAAAGGTCTGTCTCATCCGACCTGTCTTTATGTTTTAGGTTAATAGTAATAATAATATTCCTTTATTTCATCAATTGAATGCACGAAGGTTACATAGATGATTAAAAACGTCAATATTTTAGTTACATCATTACATTGAGCAAGGACATGTCAACAATACAAATTTACATAGACATGCATATATAAAAAAAAATCAATTATATAGTTTGAAAATAAAAAATTATTATCATAAAAAGAAATCGTCTGTGGAATAGCAACACTTACGAAGTAGGATCTTTTTAGCCTTGATTTAAATATATGAACATTGAGGGATGATTTTATATGATCATCAAGAATATTATAGAGCTTGCCAATACAATAAACATTTTTGTGGTTCAGAGATGTGCGATGAAAATCAGGCTGCAAGAGATTTCTATGACGGTGTTATAGCAGTGATTGTTATTTATTGCAAACTTATTTTTATTCTTATAGATATAAGTGCAAGCTTCCAGTATTTATAAACTATATATATATATATATATAAATATATATATATATATATATATATATATATATATATATATATATATATATATATATATATATATATATATATATATATATATATATATATATATATATATATATATATATATATATATATATATATATATATATATATATATATATATATATATATATATATATATATATATATATATATATATATATATATATATATATATATATATATATATATATATATATATATATATATATATATATATATATATATATATATATATATATATATATATATATATATATATATATATATATATATATATATATATATATATATATNGTAATGATATACAGGGCGTTCTATTTTAAAAAATGGAATTTTGGTCTGTAGCACCTACACCAAACACCCTGTATATTTAAAAATTATATCAAAATATAGCTCTCATGAACTCCTAAAACTTTTGTATGAAACATTTTTGTGTATCTCCTTCAACAAACCAGATATTGCCTGTCACATAAAATGTGGGACACCCGGTATATAAACTGTAAACTGTTAATACACCAAAAGTTATAAAGTATTGACGACAACTGGTTCTCATATCAATACTTTCCATAATTCAAATTGCGTATCTTTGAAGAATGAATATCCGATTCATACCGGCACTGTTTTCCCAATTCAGTTTACTATACTTCATGTGGGAGTGGAAATGTGCAAAGTACAGCATAAGCAAGACATTTTTGCTGCAGTGATCTTTCATATACTTTATGCTGTAGCAACTACTCAGCTTATTAGGCAATAGTTCTGTATGACTTGCCCATTGCAGATGTTTGTCGAAAATTACTCCCAAAAGTTTCACCTCATCACTACAAGTTTTGTTTTTCCGTATTTTTGAATAACAATTTAACATTCATTCATTCATACATCGATCAGTACATACCACGCCACAGTAGAATAAATATTTATTGAGATATGGAGCTACAAAAATACATGACTTCAAAATTAAGAAAACTTTTGAAATAACCTAATAATTGAGACAATGTATTTTCCTTAACACAGAACACAAGTAATATATAAAGTAAAAAATGGAAGTTTGGTGTATGAACCAATCACAGCTCTTGAATATATAGAACCCATTCTTACAACTCATTCATAAAACATGACTGTCAGAGTTCTGTAATATTTTTTATAAACTGTAAAAACATAGAACTTGAGTACCTCAAATCATTCATACTCTGGAAATAGTTGGGAAAGTCCAATTTCTTTTCTTGCACAGTTCACTTCAAATATATTTACAATGTTATTTTGAAACAATAAAACTTATAGAAAAAAATTATCTGACAAAGACGAAATTTTCTATCATTTGCATGTACATTTGAATTGCCATCGACTGATGGATCAAAACGTTTACTTTATGGTACATTTCATAGGTTGTCTACAATGTTGTTGACATTCAAGCTGTTTCAAGAACATTTCTCTTCATTCTTATCGTCAGACTTGGCTTCTTTGATCATTCTCACTATCCAGCAGCTTTAAAGTCGAACAATTTTGTCGTAATTGGTGAAAATGAAATTGGGTGTAAAATTCTTTCAACATGTATAGTAACTTCAAATCTGGGATGGGAGAAATTCTTGAGAAATTTTAAATAGATGGTGTATTGAATGTAATATGAAATGAAATACATGACAGGAAAAATTGAATTGTTTTGCTCAGATTGTAATCAGAGATATCCAAGCAATTGTAATTTTTAATGCCCACACAAGGTTTGATGCATAGTTTGTATTGAAAAAAATATAGTCCTGCGAATATATCATTACTCAGATTTTTTAGTATCATCAACTTTCGCTATTATTCTTGAGAAGACTCAAAGTGATGGAGAAGCAGAGACGGTAGAAACAACTTTCAGTACTTTTTTGAATAATAAATGTTTTCATATTGCTATATCTTATAGAACAACAGTTGCATTTTTCGTACTCTTATGTAAATAAACTATATAACTTCCTCACATTTCAATCCTTGAATATTTTCCTGTAAAAAATTCTCAAGATTTCAAATTTATTCGTAACGCTTAAATGAGACGTAAACAAATAACAAGGAACACCATCTGAATAATCTGTGACATGTAGAGAATTTACAATTATAACTTCGTCCAATTTCAATTTAGAAAAACTTCAAATAAAATTTCTGTAAAATATGTATGATAATATACAGGCTGATTCACGGTGGATGGCACATTAGACGTTTCTGGTGAACCAGACAACGGATCACTTTGAAAATTTAATGGGGGGCATATTCGGACATTCTCTAGCCAACTAAAATATTTTCGACAATGCGGTGTAGCCGCTTCTATTAGAAAGCAGTAGCAACTTTGATTTTTCAAATGGAACACTCTGTATATAATATTATTTTTGGAA